CTGAGCTGAACAGGGCCTGGGCCAGGAGTTGTGCTCACCTGCCCTTAGGTCTGGGGGATGAGGAGCTTCCAGCCCACGCCCACCTCAGCATTGTCCCCTGGGTCCAGATCCAGGGGTGTCAGCCAGAGGACTGGGACAGAGCTATCCTGTGGCACCCAGGGGCCAAGGCCCTGGCTGACACAGGTGGTGCCCACTCCAGGCCACTGTCCCACCAGCACAGAGAGGGAGGGTGGTGTGAAGGCCAAGGTCAGAGGCAGGGGTCAGCTCCCTGGGTCCAAAGCCTGGACTGGCCACCCGTGAGCAGCATGGGATCAGCAAAACCACTTCCTCTCTGGAGCCCTCCTTGTACCTGCCCCCAGGAGCCTGGAGCCCCAGAGATCCATGAGGTGGGGGCTCTCGGTGGCTCATTACTGGGGAACCCAGGGAGCTGGGGGGAGGCTGAGCCCAGGATGTGGGGAAATGTGGGAGTTGGTGGAGGGTCTCCTGGGGGTGCTGCTGCACCTCATTCCCAGCTGTCCCCACGTGACCCCACTCCACCTTGTCCCCTCCACCTATGGCACACCTCTGCAGCCATTGCTACCAACTGAGAACAGGGGAGGGGACTGTGATCGCCCCATGGGGGCTGGACAGGGGCCCTTAGGGAGCATCAGCCCTGCCCTGGCCCGTCCTGCTGTTGATCCACACAGCCCGGATGAGGGGTCCCAGCAGGGCATCCTCAGGTGCAAAAATGGGTCCAGGAGACCAGAAGCCCTCCCTGCCTCATCCTGACCCCAGGAATCCCCTGGGCTCCGGGAACCTTTGGCCCCTTTCTGGGACACCCAGGGCCGTCTGCCATGAGCTGTCACTCACTCCTGTCTGGGGTTCTCTGAGGCTGCTGTGCTGGCCATTCACCTCAGGCCTCTGTCCTGTGGGTCCCTATGGCACTCAAAGGGGACCTGCTTCCTGAGCATGTTCCCCTCACGTTTAGAGACCAGGAGAGATAAGACGCCAGGAAACACCCCGGGCCTCAGCTGGGAGCTGCTTCCAGAAGCTTCCTCATTTCGTGTGTGTGGCCATCTCTGATAAGGGGGAACTTCCTCCAGGGGTGGGGACAGCAAGACTCCCCGGAGACAAGCTGGGCACCTTGGAAAGGCTGTCAGTGTCTACCCACAGTTCTGAGTGCCACACTAGGAGCTGGGGGATTCCTGGGGACGGTCGAGGTGCATTTGTGCTGTTGTGAGGAAAGTCAGGTGGAATTGGATGCAGGCTGGGCCTGAGCACCTGGGTTTGTTTTATTTTGGGTTTTTTCTTTTGGTCCTGGGGATCTAACCCTGAGGCTTACCACTGACCACATCCCAGCCCTTTTCATTATTTATTTGGAGACAGGGTCTTGCTAAATTTCTTAGGACCTCCCTGTTGTTGAGGCTGGTCTTGGAACTTGCAATCCTCCTGCCGCAGCCTCCTGAGTCACTGGGATCACAGGCCTGTGCCACCGCACCTGCTTGAGCACCTCGCTTTAGTTCTTGTTGCTGCTCAGTGGTGGGGGTTTTAAATTATAATGAAATCTGCATCCATAAAACTTATCATTTTAACCACGTTCCAGTATACTAGTTCTGTGGCACTGAGGACATTCCTGTTACACAATCATCTCAGCCATCCCTCTCCAGGAGTGTTTTCCTGATTTTTTTTTCTTTATTTCTTTAACTGACAAATAAAAATACTGTACATATTCATCATAAGCAGAATGATGTTTTGAAACATGTGTGTACACTGGGATGGCTAAATAGAGCTGATTACCATATGCAATGCCTCACTGATTTTTGTGATAAGAACACTTCAAATCAAATCCCTTAGTGATTGTCAAGAATACAGAACATTAGCCATACCTAGTGATGCACACCTGCGATCCAGCAGCTCTGGAGGCTGAGGCAGGAGGATCACAAGCTTGAGGCCAGCCTCAACAACTTACCAAAGCCCTAAGCAAACGCTTTCCCCACTGAGGAAATTAAAAAAAAAAAAAAAAACAGAGGTGTGGCTCAGAGGTAGTTCTATTTTTAATATCTCAGGACCGTCCCCACTGCCTTACGTCACAACGGGGCTGACTTATGTTCCCAGCCATGGTGTGCACAGTGCCCTTTGCTCTGCCCGCTGGCCACCCGTGTGCCCATCCGGCTTCCCCAACAGCCACCAGGAGGTGTGAGGTGACATTTCATCACAGTTCCTTTCTAGTCCCCTGAGGATTGGCGATGGCGGGGGATTTCTCCTGGGCCTCTGGGCCCTTCTCCTGTCGTCCTTTGAGAAGCGTCTGTTGAGGTCACTTGCCCATTTGCGGATGGGGTGAGCGGGTTTCTTACTGCTGAGTTGCTTGATCAAGCTCCTCATGATACTTTGCATATTGACACCTAATAAGATGCGTGGCTTGTGAGTGTGTCTCCCGTTCCCTGAGTTGCCCCTCACTCTGTCCACTGTTTCCTTTGCTTTTCAAAAGCTGTTAGTTGGCCACGATCCCCTTGGTCCGTTTGTATTTTGCTGCCTGTGCCTTGGGTCCCGTGCAAACCATCACTGACAGGCCAACGTCGCCAGCTCTCCCCTGTGCTCTCCGCTAAGCAGCTGGGCAGGTCCAATCTGACCTTCACTGTTTAATCTGAGGTGATTTTTATGTGGTGTGCGGTGAGGGTCTGATGTCCTCCTGGTTGGCATGTCCAGGGTCCCAAAAGAGTCCTTCCCATTGTGTGCTCTTGGCACCTTCATCAAAAATCAGCTGTAAATACGTGGGTTTTTCTGGGCTGTCTGTCCTGCTCTGTGGCTGTGTGTGTCCCCATACAGAACCACACTGTGTTGTCACTACAGCTTCCCAGTCGATTCTGAGGTCAAGTCATGGGATGTGCCCAGCTTTGCTCTGTTTCTGAGCACCTGGCTTTATCCTCAGGTGTTAATGCTGGGTGTCACTCTGGGAAGCCCTTGGCCATGGTCTCCCACCCCCACTGCTTAGGCATCAAGGGTGGCCATCACTGCCACCTTCTCCCTGAGCATAGACCACCTGTAGGACCCCAGTGGTGCAAGGATTCCCACAGGGGAGGGTCCAGGGAATGGCTGGCCTCCCTCTGCCACTGCAGGATGGAGAGGAGATGTAGATCCCTTGCCAGGCCCCGCTGTGGCACAGAATCTGAAGCCACATGTCCTTGGGCTCTGCTCCAGAGAGCAGAGTGGTCCTGGGACTTCCAGAGCAGCCCGGCTCAGGAGGTCCACCTGGGGTCTTAGGTCTGTCTGCGTCTCACAGCAGGGTCAGGCTGAGCACCTGGGTCTCTTCCCTGAGAGAAAGCACAACTTTGGGAGGTGAGCCTCTGACCCGTCGTGTTGCAGACATCACCAAATGGGGGCCATGAGAGTGCCCCGTGGAAAATCTGCAGACGGCCAGGTCCTACAGGGCACAATGGCTGCCTGTGCAGCCCAGGCTGTGTGCCCATTTCTGGAGCCAAGAATCCTTTATTAATGAGAGGAGAACAGCTGCAAGGTAGGCCCTTCCCCCACCTCCCCACCATCAGGTTGAGGTTGCCAGACCCTTTCCTGTGGCATCTAGACGGCAGAACCCTGGTTACAGGAGTGTGCCCTGGTTTGAGACAGGCAGGTGTGCATGTACCTGTCGCCCAGCACAGAATCAGGGTAGCATGAATATCAGGGCCAGCTCTGCAACTGGCTGCCTGGGGCTAAAACCTGCCTGTGCCACCTGTTAGCTGCATATTATTAGTCAAGTCACTACCTCTCTTTGAACTTGGTCTACCCATCTGTACCATGAAGGTGATCATAACAGTGCCTACCTCCTGTGTCTTCCAGGAGGATTATGAAAATTACAGGTGCCTGTAAGAGAGCCTGGCTAAACTGAGGATCAAGGGGACTCTGACCAGACAGGGTCCCTGTGGGTGCACATTGTGTCATATGTACAAGCCTTGACCAAAGGGAAAAAGCTTTTTTATGAATTTTCAAAAAGCTCCTCCTCTCCAGGTGGACACAGCCGCATCTGATGACTAGAAAGTGGGCTGGTTTTCAGCCCCTGCTTACCATGGGCTTGGGCACCCTGACGCAGTGAGCAGCCTGGACAACTGCACCTAAGGGTCAGGATTCTCCTAAGTACAAGCCCTCGGCCTCAGATGGTGGCTATCGTTATTGGCACGCCCTCTGTGCCCCACACTGTGTTGCTAGGTTAAAAGAAGCCAGGGCTTGTGGGGGTGAGGGAGAAGAGCTCATTCAGGTGATGGGCAGAGGCAGGGGTGAGCAGGGGAGAGGTGGAAGACACCCCATCCCCCCAGACCCCACTGGAAAGAGCAGACTTCTGGCTTGGAAGACCCTGGAGGTGAAGCCGCAGCTCAGTGAGGGGCTCAGCTGGGCCCTCCTCATTCCCTCCTCACCCTTCAACACTGTGGTCTTCACTGCACCTGAAGATAGGACCACTGGCCTCACAGCCCATGGAGTCAGTGATGGGCAGACCTGGTACCCACTCCCTGGGCTCCTTGCCCCACCTTCTCCAGGCATCTCAGGGCCGAGCAAGACACTTGGCTGCCCATATCTGTTCACTCCCCAAAACTCAGAATCCTCCTCAGAGAGCCACTTCTGGACCTTCAGAACACCCTGTGCCCATGTGGCATCTATTTTGCATGAACATCAAGGGGGAGGGTCAAGATATCCCAGGAGTCCACTGCGAGCTTGTTCCAGCGCCATTCGGTCCTCTTCCCCTTCTAGCAGCTGCCGGGATGAGCCCTGCCCCTTCCGGGGCTCACAGGGACTCAGCCACCTGGAACACTCCTGGGCCCCCCAGGAACAATGGACCCAGGGACCCAGTCGGGAAATTCAGGAGGAAGGAGACTCGAGGGTAGGCCAGCACGCCGGCCTGAAGAGAATGCGCTCTGTGCCCCACGCTTTTCTCGACCACGCCCTCCTCAGCCATGCCCATAAATCCCACCCTCATTGGCCACACCCTTAGCCACGCCCCCACCAACCACGCCCTTCGACACCCCTCAGCCTCATTCATTTCTCTGTGCTGCTCTCCATTCTGACTTTGGTCTGCTTGAGGGTTACATCAGGTGGAAGAAGATGCTCTGGTTGGAACACACAGTAAGAGAGGGTGAAGTAGATCCACTGCCCAGCCCCAACCCTGTCCAGAGGAGGTCAATCCAGATCCCAGGGGCTTGACCACTGGGGACAGAGGCAGATACTGGGACCCAGGCAGCAGGCCAAAGGTCTGTGTCCAGGTGGAGGTGAAGGACAGACGACAGAAATGCCTGCCACAGCTCCCCGTCCCCATGGCTCCACTCTCTGTCCTATGGCTGGCCTCCATAGGACAAGGATGCTTCACAGGGTCAGGAAGACACGTGCACGGTCCCAGGGCTGCCTGGCTGGATGTCAACCCTGGGCTCTCTGGCATGGTCCTCACTCCTGTCCCTGCCATTAAGTCTTGTCCCAGTGGGCCTGGCTGAGGGGCGGATCTCAGTTCCTCTCCTTGGAGCTGGGCTCTCAGAGCTAGTGGGATGAGAGAACCTGTCCTGCTAGGTCACTGGGACCCAGGGACAACTCAGCCATCGAGCAGTCACACTGCCAGAATCAGGCCAAAGGCCACCCTGGAAGCCAAGACCGGCCCCACTCGGGAGCTCAGCACTTCCCCTGCACTCGGGTCCCAGGACCCATCTGTTGGCCTCTGTTCCAAATCCTCAGGCCGGGACATATATGGCCATGACACCCTGGCCCAGCTGGGAGCTTCCCAGGGAGGTAGAGGGCACTGGGAGGACAACAGAGGATCTGGAGACCATGCTCCCCACGGAGAGCCTCCTTGTGGGTTAGGAAAGGAACCTGGGGACACAGCGGGTCCACCCCATGCCTCCATGCCAGGAACCTGGCCGATTCCCAGCCTGGGCTGACAGAGCCAAACCCTCTGATCACAACACTCGCATCCAACCCAACAAGCCACTTTAAGCTGCCGGCTGCCCGCATCCTGCCCCTCTTCTTCCTCTTGCAGACGTGGACGAATGTAAGCAGAACCCCAGAATCTGCAAGGGCCGCAGCACCTGCATCAACACTCAGGGAAGCTACAGATGCCAGTGTCTGCCTGGCTTTGAGCCCAACCCAGAGAACCCAAAGCTGTGCACAGGTAGAGGCCCCAGGAGGACCCCTGAGGGTGGACAGGAGCCAGGGATGCAGCAGAGGCAGGTCCTGGGCCCAAGGAGGGAGAAGACCTGAGGTTCCCAAGGTCCAGGGGCTCAGGCTCCACCTGAGGAATCACCTCCAGGAATTCTCGCCACAGGACAGGGTGGCCGCAGGGCCTTTGAGCTCTGGGTCCATGTGGAGCCCCAGACCTCAGCCCCATCCTCATCATTCATGTGAGAGTAGAAGAGTGGCTTTCAGTTCTGACAAGGAGCCCCCACCGTGGCCACGAAGAGGAAGACCAGAGGCCTTGGTCAGGAGGTTCCACCCCCTGGCTCAGTTTCCCTCCTGGATCCACCTCCTGTAAACTGGAGACCAGGGTCATTGCTATGCCCTTCATGCAGGGAGGCCACCTGAGGTGCTCTGAAGGTGAAGCTGAAGGTCACCAGTGAGGCACATGCAGAGGTCCTTGGTTTGGGGCTGCGACAAGATGGAGAAGTGGGTGCAGTGAACGGGGCATGGGAGCCGGTCAGGGGCGGGGACTGACCCCCTGCTTTGTCCTAGATGTGAATGAATGCGCCTCTGGACAAAACCCGTGCCACAAATCCACCATCTGCCTCAACCAAGTGGGCAGCTACCAGTGCCGCTGCCGACCCGGCTGGAAGCCAGTCCCCGGATCCCCCCATGGCCCCAACAACACCGTGTGCGAAGGTGCGGGCTCAGAGGCCACACTCAGAGGCCCGCAGTCCAGCCGGGATCGCAGCCCTCCTGGGCAAACCAATCACGTCCAGTGCTGTGGCACCTGCGGCATCTGTGCCAGCTAATGCTCCAGGGGCTGGACACAGACAGAGGGGTCTGGGGGAGGAGCTGGGGTCTGACAGGATACTCCCGGGGCCCCAGGCTGCAGCTAGTGACTAACTGGTTACGAGTTTCCGCAGCCTCACAATCTGCACCTGCACAGGGCAGATCTGGGGGGCACCAGGCCTCGCACACCCCTTGATCTGGCACCCACCTCGCAAGGGTGTGGATCTCCAGGTGGCCGCTCAGCGGCCCAGGGAGGGCACTAATGGCGGGAAGAAGCGGGTGGAGCTCAGACGGCAGAGAACACTGGTCCTGGCTGAGGCAGGACTGACCCCTCTGTCTGTGTCCCCAGATGTGGACGAGTGCAGCTCTGGGCAGCATCAGTGCCACCAGTCCACCATCTGCACCAACACCCTGGGGTCGTACCAGTGCCACTGCCGCCCAGGCTGGGAGCCGATTCCTGGGAGCGTCAATGGCCGGAACAGCACCATCTGCAAAGGTACCCAGCCTGCTCTGACCCCAGAACCTCCCCCACCCCACACATGTGCACACCCAGGCACACACACGTGCACTCCTCCTAATGAACCACTGTCCTGTCCCTGCAGTCAAGCCCTTCTTCACTAGGCCTCTGCCCCCTGGAGTCCACAGCCAGGTGAGTGCCCCAGCCAGGACAGGGAGGTGGGAACCCCTGGGGCAGCACCCTGTCCACCCCTTGGCCCTGAGCTTCCCACCCACCTGTGACCCCTCATCTCACCTCCCCAGAGTCTCTCGCACTTCTTTGACAAAGTCAACAATCTGCACAGGGATTTCAAGCCAGATCAGGCCAAGGACACCATCCAGGTAAGGGCAGAACAGGGGAAGCAGGTGGAGACCTCCCACAGAGGGAGGGGAGCAGCTTTGGTCTGGGAGAGGGGACAGGCCCAAGCACAGTGGGGTCCTGCTCTGAGCTGGCCACTCTCCCAGGGCAGGTGGAAGAGGACACTGGGAGCCACACACACTGTTGGTCACCCACGTGCACTGTCTGTCCTCTTGCTCTCATCCTGGTCTTTGGGTTTTGTCATCCTTGACAGTCATGAACCAGGACTGACCTCTGAGGAGCAAGGACCACACAGGGTGTCCCAAACCATGCTCTCTCTATCCCCAACTGGACAGTGTCTGGGTCTGCTCTCTGGGGCTGAGTGGTCAAGCTCTTCATGTGGACCTTCTGGCCCATGTGGACCTTCTGGCCCGAGTCCACCTGCTCTGTGCCCCCATCCCTCCAGGGGATCATGCAGGAGGTGGATGAGCTGCTGGAGACCCCTGGGGACCTGGAGACCCTGCCCCCCTCACAGAAGCACTGCGTGGCCACTCACCTGCTGACAGGTCTGGAGAGTGCCCTGAGACACCTGAGCAGGGCTCTGCCTGAGGGGACAGCAACCTTCAATTATTCTGCAGGCACACGTAAGTCCCTGGGTCTGCACCAGCCCCTGTTCCTAGCCTCATCCTCTTCTGATCCCACTAGAGCTGAGTGGCCACACTGTACCTCAGTGTGACTCACATAAATAATCACAACAGTGAAAAAGGCAGAAAACCACAAATAGTACACATTTACAATATAGTATACATTATCAGCGGAAAATGACAATAAGAAATTTTAGGGGGACTGGGTTGTAGCTCAGTGGTAGAGCACTTGTCTAGAGGCATGGGGTTCGAGCCTCAGCACCACATACAAATAAGTGAATAAAGCAAAGGTGTTGTGTCCATCTACAACTAAAATAATAAGTATTTTGCATAGCAAAATAGAAACACCTTCCAAAATCTAATATGCAGTAATATAAATTAATCCTGCTTGATATTTAGGTATAAATTGTCTTATTGTGGTAAAACTCACTGAACAAGTTTCACTAAGTCCACCATTTAAAATCCACCAGTTTGAAATTTCAGTGGAATCAAGAACATTCACAAACTGATGCAGCCATCACTTCCATTTCTAAGAGAGTTTCCTCCAAAATCAAACGCAGTGCCTCCTCAGCTTTCATCCCTCACTCTTCCCCTCCCCCAACCCTGGCGTCCACTCTCCTGCTTGCTGTCTTAATGGAGCTGCCTATTCCACCAATTAGAAAAAGCAATCATACAAAGTGTGACCTGTCCCTCTAGCTTCTTTCTCCTAGATAATCCAGTTGAGCATGGCATAGCATCATTCCATCCCTTCTCATGGCTGAATATGATTCCATCCTATGGGTGTTGAGCTGACCCACTCAGCCAATGATGAACCTCTTGGCTGTTGTGACTCACTACTAAGAATATTGATGTGTGTTTGCTTGAATCACTGTTCTCAGTGCTTGGGTGTGTCTGTAAGGCCTGAACTTGGTAGGTAACCTGGTAATTCCATGTGTAGTTCTGGGGGAACCACCAGATGTTTGCAGAGTGGCCACACTATTTCATAGTACCACCAGAGGGGTGCAAGAGTGGCCTCTCCATGACTTCAGCTAAACATGTTACTTCCGATTCATTCGGTTTTATCACGGCCGTTCTATTGTATGTGATGCGATGTCTTGTTGCTGGTTTGAGTTGCATCTCCCTGTTGACAGGTGATGGTTAGCACATTTTCATGTGCCTCTGGGCCATTTGTGTATCTTTTTGGAGAAATATCTGTTCAGAGTCTTTGTGCATTTGTGATTGGGTTGGTCCTTTGGTTCTTGAGTTTTTGTAAGAGCTTTTCATCTACTTTGACAGGAGACCATTAAGTGATGTGCAACTTGGAAATGCTTTCTCCATCCTATGGATTATCTTTTCACATTTGTGATAATCATTTCACTTTAATGTCAGATGTTTTAATTTTGAGGACATCTACTTTATCTACTTTCTCCTTCATGGCTTGCACATTCCGTGTCATATCTAATAATCCATTGCCAAATCCAAGGTCAGAAAGACACCACTATATTTCCTCCCATGGGATTCAGTTCTTAGACTTTGTTCTATTTTGAGTTAATCTGTGTGTGTGGTGTGAGGTAGGGGTCCCACTTCCTTCTTTTTCCTTGGATATCCAGTAATCCCTCATCAATCATTGAAGAGACTGTTCTTATGTCCATTCAATAGTCTTGGTCCCTGGCTGAAAACCAATTGACTGCAGAGGAGCAGGTTTATTTCTGGGCTCACCTTTCCCTTTGTCTTCATGCCAGTACCACGCTGCTTTGCTCTCTGCTCATTTGCCCTCAGTTCTGAAATCAGGAGTGTGAGTCCTCCCGCTTTGTTGCTCTTTTCAGCCACGCTTTAACTACTTGGATCTCTTACAATGCTGTGTTAGTTTTAAGGTGAGTTTTTCTATTTAAGCAAATTATAATATTAATGGCTGTTGGGACATGGATAGGGATGACATTAACCCTGTAGATCTCTTTGGGGCATGTCACCATCTTACCAATATAAAGTTTCCCCATCCATGAACACAAGGTGTCCTTGCCTTCATTTGGGGTCTTTAATGCCTTTCAAAACCTTCTGTAGTTCTCTATGTACAAGTTCTGAGTCTCTTAGTTAAATTTATTTCTAATATTTTGTTAGAGATTGTTGTGTCTATGTTTTATAAGAGATATAGGTCTCTTTCCTTTTCTCAGGATGTCTTTATCTGGTTTGGGCATCAGAGTAATATTGGCCTCCAGGACTTACTGCATGCTGTCCCTTCTTCTGTTTTTTGAAAGAGTTTAGAAAGAATTCATTTTCATTCTTCCCTATATGGTTAGTGAAATTTCACCATATTAAATAGGTGAAAATCTGATCTCACATGGTCATTTAGGAGGTTTTTCATTATTGATTCAATCTCTTTATAGGTCTCTTCAAATTTTCCACTTCTTCTTAAGTCAGTTTTGGTAGCTTCTGTCCCTCAGAATGTGTCCATTTCATCTCAGTTATCTAATATGTTGGTGCACAATTGTTCCTACTGTTACAATTCTTCATAAATTCAGATTTTATATACATATATGTATGCACACATATGTATACACAACAAATATATACACATACAGATAAAATCTGAAATTACAAAGGATTATATACATATATGTATTGTACACATGTGTGTCTATAAACACATAAACGTGTGTGGTTATAGTGAATTGGAAGTTACTCATAGGTCCTTGATATATGTGATATACACGTGTACATATATAATATCCACATATACACATATATATATATTCCTAACATAACTCTTCTTCTTCCTGTGACTCATAGAACTGTCCCTGAAGGTGCAGAATCAAGGACTTTGCAATGTCACCTTGAGTCTGAATCAGGCAAAGATGCAGCTGAACTGGAATCTGGCACAGGAATCTTGTTACACAGGTAACATCTGAGATGGGGAAAAGGTGGATGTCCACCACACACCAGTACCATCCTGTTTGGAAGAGGCTTCAAGGTGGGAAAAGATGCCCAAAATACAGAATTAAAGACAAAAGGGTGATGTGGGTGGGAAGAGGTCACTAGAAGAGCATCCAAAGGGGAGGTTCTGGGGAGTGATGGGGCCACATTCTGTTGTGTGCACCTGTGAATGTGGAGCAGCAAGTCCCACTATTATGTATCATTATAATACAACAGTTCAAAAGGGAGGGAGGCCATCTAAGGAGGAGGCCCTGGAGGAGACCCTGAGACTCACCCATGGCTCATCCTGCAGGCCCTTCTGTGGTGGGCTTGGTCTCCACCCCAGGGATGGACAAGCTGCTGGCTGAGGCTCCCCTGATCCTGGATCCTGAGAAGCAGGTGGCTCCCCATGGGACACACGAGGACTTGCTGCCAAGAGTCTCCTCTGTCCTGCTCTCAGATGTCGTCTCAGCCTTTTTGAGCAGCAACGACACCCAGAACCTCAGTTCGCCAGTTACCTTCACCTTCTCCCATCCTGTGAGTGGGGGGTGGGGGGGACCACGGTGTGGGAAGAGCCCCAGGCCCAGGCACATCCTTGTTGTCTGTCTTAACCTTGAGGTTCAGGGGAACTCCCCACAGGTGCCCCTGATCCAGGAAAGCCAGACTTCCTGGGTCAGCATCTCTGAGCACAGGAAGACCAGCTCACACCTCTGTCCTGTTACTACAGCTGGTGACACCTGCACCAAGGCATGAGGTGCTCTGTGTCTTCTGGGACCACAGCCAGAATGGAAGTCACTGGACCACTGCAGGCTGCAGGACAGTGAGCACTGGAGGTGGCAGCACCACCTGCCACTGTACCCACCTCAGCAGCTTTGCCGTCCTCATGGTCCACTACCATGTGCAGGTGAGAGGCTGCCTTCAGCATCGATTGCTGCAAAACACACTTCTGCAAATGTTGCTGCTGAAGTAAAACAAATTTGTTCCCTCGTGGTTTCTGTGGGTCAGCAACTCAGCACAGGGGGATGAGTTCCTTGTACAGGTTCTAAAAGACTGACATGATCACATCAGCCAGGGCCTCAGTCTCTTTTGGGTCTTGCAGCCCTCCTCCAGCTCCCTGATTGCAGGCAGAGTCCAGTTCCCTTCTCTTAGCAGCTGTCAGGGGGGACCACACTCAGTTCCTAAGAGCCACCCACATTTCCTCTCCTATGACCCCTGGTCGGCCTTCTCACAAAACACCAGTGTTCCCATCTGAAAACCAGCATGAAAATGTCACTTGTGTAGAATCCCTCTCAAGTTTTGAATCCGTTTTCCCAGGAAGAGTCCAGATGTCTAAAGCAATCGCCTGATTACACCAGATCCAGGAGAATAAACTCCCTAATCTAAAAATCAACAGATAGAGACCCAAATTCCACCTGCAAAATCCCTCTACAGCAGCACCGAGTTTATCAGAGAATTGAATAATTAGAAGAAGGTTAGTGTAACAGCAGGGGGTGGACATAGGAAGACCAAGTTAGAATTCTGCTTACCACCAGGGTCTGTAAGACAACCATGGTCAGGTTTCAGGTTTACAAAAAGGAAGGTCTGGAGAAGGTGGAGGCCAGAGGGGGTCAGGGGAGTCAGGGAGGAAGGCTGGACTGGGGGCTGTTTACCTCCTCCTCTAGCCAGGGGAGTGGACACTTCTGCTTGCCCAGGTTCAGACTCTCAGGTGAGCCCACGTTATGGGCATTCACTGTGAGCACCTGTGACCATGAGCATGACAAGGATCTCAGCCAAGTGCCTCCGCCCCAGGAGTCCGCACATTCCAAGACCTCGCTGCCACCTCACCCAGTAGCACACTCTCATGTGTCAACTGCTTCTTTGTTCATGCAAGAGGCATGTGTTTATGCTTCAAATTTCAGACTGGATGAGAGAGGGACCATGGAGGGGTCTCCCACCCCCTCACATAGGCATCGAGTTCCTCCTGCCTCAGACAACCAGGGCTCTCAGTGTCCCCGGCACTCTCCTAGGGCTGCCTCAGGCATATCCACAAAACACCTGTGGTTATTCTTTTTTTAGATTATTTTTAAAGATGGACACAATATCTTTATTTGATTTATTTTTTAATGTGGTGCTGAGGATCGAACCCTGTACCTCACAAGTGCCAGGCAAGCGCTCTACCGCGGAGCTGTAAATCCAGCCCCACCTGAGTTTACTCTTTGGTTCTCTTCATCCTTGTAATGTTGACAGCTTTATTTACTTACGTGGTTAACTTTTTTTTTCTTTACATATTGGAGATTCTTCAATCCCTGTGTACAAATGGCTTCACCATTACTTCTAAGGACACACTGCATTCCATTGTGTGAAAAGACTGTAAATAGTCTGTCAAATTCTTATCATTTGTTAACACAAAGAATATTGCAAAAATGTCCACATGCTTCATTTATTTCCTATTTGAGTGTGCATGCAGAATGTCTATCTGTTCTAATTCATAACTGCACATAAATAGACACTGCCACATTTCGACACAGAGAGGCTGAACCTGGTAACAATCCCACCAGCATTACATGAAGCTGGGTGATGACTCACACCTCACTGCAGGGTTACTATCAACTTTTGGGGGTCCTTGTCTATCTGAGAGGTCAATATATCTAGGGAAATATTTGTGTCCTTTTTAGCAGGAGTAAAACGGAACATCTTCGTTATGAACCATTTCTATTTCTACCTCTGGAAACAATTTTGCATGTCCTTGGTCCATCTTTCTATTGGTTTATTGGAATATATGTTGGTGATTTCCAGGAGCTTTTGATATATTATGGAAATTAGAATTTGTCTTTACATAAGAAGTTCTCAAAATTCAGAACATATTAATATCACTTAGAGGACCATTTATTTTTTCTGCTTTCTTAGAAAACAATTTCAAATTTTTAGATATTTTTATTTAAATAACAAAAGTAGAAGAAATAGATCACACATTTGTGGTTAAAGGAAGAAAGTTAATGATGGTAACTTAAAATTTACACTTTCCCACCTGTTTCTCCAAGTCCTCTTAAAACCATGAGGAAATGAAAAGAAAACCCCCCACCCCATTACTCTTTACCCAGAGGCATCTATTTTGAAAGTTTTGCCTCAGTTTCCTTTATCAGGTGTCATTCTTTCCCTCTGCTCCTCCTCTGTCCTGCCTCCTAATTTCCCAATTTTGTCTTTACACCAGGGTCTCTAATGTAGCATGCACAAATGTCACCTGCAGGGTTTGAACTTTCTTTTCAAACATTTTCTTGGGAAACCATTTCAAATTTGACAGATATGTTGCAAAAACAAAATCCACACAAACAACATCTGTGTGCACTTGACCCAGATGCACCTGCTTTGAAATTTTACCTTCATTATTTACCATTTGTACATTTCCTCTCCCTCTTTCCTCTTTTCTCCTCTTCCCCTCAATTACATTAAAATAGAATTGATGGTGGGCTTTTAAATGTCCTCATGGCTTTAAGATGACTTTCAGAAAGAAGTGGGGGAAAGGTGAATTTTAAGCTACTGTTATTAATTTTAATATTTAACCAAGTATCTAATTCTAACTTCACAGGGACTTGTGGCCAGTAAGGAACAGCAGAGCTGGACTAAGGCCAGTGTGTCTGGGATGGGAGGTTAAGGCCTGGACACTGACGTTCAGGTCCTGCCCTGTGGCCTCATGGGACAGGGACAGAGGGACCCTCAGCATGGGCTTCACACACACTCACTCACATATCAACATACGCCTTACTGTGCCCCAAAGTCAGGAATCCTGGGTCTCCTCCCTCAGTAAGGACTCTACACATCCGGGCCCTTCTAGCCCTTACCTGCTCAGTTCAGAAAACCTTAGAGTCCAACCTTCTGAACCTGGAGCCCCTCCCTCATCAGCTTCACACCTAGACCCGGTCCCTCCATTCCTGAATCTGCTGCACCAAATGACAGATAGCGGAGGGGTTCCTACCCCAGAGCAGGGCACATGGCTGTGAAGGCTCCTCCCTCTGCCCCAGGACGACGACCCCGTGCTGAGCATCATCACCTGCGTGGGACTGGGCGTGTCGCTGCTGTGCCTGGTCCTGGCAGCCCTCACCTTCCTCCTGTGCAGAGCCATCCAGAACACCAGCACCTCCCTGCACCTGCAGCTCTCGCTCTGCCTCCTGCTGGCCCACCTGCTCTTCCTCACAGCCATCGACAGAACCCAGCCCAAGGTACCCAGGTGTCCCTGCCCCGCCCGCCCAGGGGTGCTGAACTCAGGAGCCAGGCTGCCCGGCTCCTAATCAAACAGCCTGGGTCCCGGGAAGTCCAGAGGAGGTCGATGCCCATTTCACGTTGACAGATTCAACGAGAAAACGAACCCTCTTGACAACTCCATCACCTACATCTCGTGTTGCTTAGCAGCAGGGCTTGCATCCTGGGGAAGTTCCTTCATTAGGGGACCGGGTAGGGTGAACTGAGGCAAACTCTAGGTGGCATCCATCAATCACCAGACATGGCCTCCTGATTCAATCAGGAGAGAAAAAGGAGGCAACTGGGCTGGCTTCACGCGGCATCCCGTTTTACAGCAGACATTTTTGACCAGGAGAAAAAGGAGGTTCTACTGAATTTTTAATTTGGTTAATCGAGTCCTTCGTTTTCAGAATTTCTATTTGGTTCATTTTTAGATTCTCGCTTTAGTGAAATTTTCTTCCACTTCCTGTATTTCCTCCAAGTTCATTCCTTACATCTTCTTTTAGCTCGTTGAATATTTTAACTAGGATCTTCCTAAATTCTTCTCCAACATTTCCTCTGCTGTCGTGCCTACAGAGTCAGTTGTTGGAGTGCTGGGGGCTGTGGGGTTTGCTCCCTTGTGCTTTCCTGCTGCTTGTAGGTCTGCCCACATTCTGGGTTGATTATCTTCTCTGCTTTGATGCACAGGATAATTTAGAGACCTTCTTTCTTGTAAGAGCCCAGGGATGAGTGAATATCCAGCTACTGATACTGTCATTCAATGTGCGCCCTGAGCTGTTCCCAGGATCAGCACCATTTGGAGGGAAGATACTAAACCCTGTGAACTACAGTCACTTCTAAAATAATGTGAAAAGCATATTGTAGTAAATGCATAAGCTGCCACATGATCATTGGTTGCCATTTGTAAGTAGTAGGTCCTGCCCGTCCTTATATGACCCTGCTGTTCAGTAACCAGCAGCACAGCGGGTTGGTGCACAAGAGCATCGCCACTACTGCATGAGGAACGCCATAGGGCAGCGCTGGGGGGCTGTGACGTCACCACTACTGCATGAGGAACTCCGCAGGGCAGCGCTGGGAGGCTGTGACACTGGGCAGCAGGACCTCTCCAGCTCTGCTGTGATCTATGGGAGCACACACGCAGCCCGTGGCTGAAGCACCACAGTGCAGCGCCTGGTGCACAGCAGAATCCCCCGCCACAGGGTCCGGGCCACCCCCAGACCCTGACTGCTGCCCCAGGGTCTCTCTCCTCCCCAGGTGCTGTGCGCAGTCACTGCGGGCGCCCTGCACTACCTCTACCTGGCCTCCTTCACCTGGATGCTGCTGGAGGGGCTGTTCCTCTTCCTCACCGCACGGAACCTCACTGTGCTCAGTTCCTCCAGCAGAAACAGGCTCATGAGGAGGCTCATGTTCCCTGTGGGCTACGGGGTCCCGGCTGCCATCGTGGCCGTGTCTGCAGCAGCCAGACCTCACCTGTATGGCACCCCTGCTCGGTAAATGCGCACCCCATTGTCCTTCTCCTCTCGAGCATGTCCATGGCCTTCACTTGAACCAAAGTAGCATTTTGAGTATTTCAGAGCTTAAGATGGAGACGGAGACTAACTAGTAACCCCTAGGACATCTTTCCTGTAAAAAATTAGAGTAAGGATTAATTAATTACCAAAATCACTCTCCTAGAAATAGCAAATATAAAATCAAAAGAAATGCTTAGGACTTTTTTGTTTGCAATTTAACCTAGATTTTATCCAAATCCTCTAGAATGCCCCAATTCTTCATTTGGGAAAATAGAGTTTGTTTTAATAATCCAACTAATAGACAAAGATAACCACCAAACTTGTGATTGTGGTTACCATGGTGTCAGGAAGGATATGCAATCAAAAGGGAGAGTAGTCCTCATCTTCTCCTGTGAAAGGTCTTAATGCTTAGGCTCACATGTCAGTCCTACGGATTTCACTATAACAGTTTTAAGCTTTAATGATGCAGAAGAAAAATGACTTAATTACAAAACAAAAAAAAAATATAGTGTCATAGTTAAGATTTACAGGGTGCTTATTTCATGCCAGGTGCTCCTCTAGCCACTTTTATATATATTAACTCAAATAATCCTCACGTCTCTACTTACAAGTAGATGCTGTCATTAGCCTGATTTTATCAGTAGGAAATAGAAGGACAATTTAGTTAAGTGCCCAAAGGAGGCAAAACTAGCAGGTATCCACAAAGTCAAGTTTGTTGCAGCACTCTCCACAATAGCTGAGGTGCGGAATCAGCCCAAGTGCCCCTCAGAGATGAATGGAGAAATAAACATATATTATACACACACACACACACACACACACACACACACAATGCAATACTATAATACTATTTATGCTTAAATAAGAACAATTTAACATTTGCAGCAACAGGGATAAAACTGGAGGTCAATATGTTAAGTTAAATGAGCCAGGCACAGAAACACAAGTACCACATCTTGTCTCACATTTGTGAAAGCTAAAAAATAAATCCACCTGAAAGTACAACAGAGTGAATTCAAGAGATCCGGAAGGGTGCAGGGCAATGGCAAGTAAAGCAGAAAAGTGAGGTTGGGATGAATCACTGCACACGATGGGCCTGGGTGGAAATACCATGCTGGGCTCCTCTAATACAGACAATTAATATGTTCATGGACAAATTTCATCTTTAAAATGCTGCATTATGAGTGAACCTTAAAAAAATCATGCTAAGTGAAAGAATGTAGTCATTAAAGATCACATATTTCATGATTCCATTTCTGTGAAATGCCAAGAAAAAGAAAATCAATAAGAGAAAATAGATTCCTGTGGCTGGGGACAAGGTAAGGGGTGGGAGCAGGAGGGAGGAGCGGGTGCTGATGTGCACATGTTTCTTTCTGGAGCTGTGAGAATGTTCCACAGTTAGGTTGTGGTGATGGCTACACAGCACCATTTTGTTCAAACAGAAACTGTGCAGTTTACATTTTTTTATTGGTGTATTATAAGTGTATATAACAATGGGATTTGTTTCTACATGTTTGTGCATGCACACCACATGACAAAGTAACAGAAGTGTGCACTTTCAATAAGTGAATTTTATGCTACATGAACTCCATGTCCATAAATCTGAGAAATGATTGTGGTCATTGGTCAGTTTCACTGCAGAAAAAAAGCAACTCCATTGAATGAGGCAAGACAAGCCCTTAAAATGATGTCAGGTTCACAAGACTCTCAAACTCTGTGACCATGTTCACAGTCCTCTGCCCTGCTCCAGAGCTCACTACCTCAGTAACACCCTCCCATCTTCATGTCTCTGTTACATGTGATTTCCTTGGGGAATTCTCCTTAACCATCTTAATCCCACAGACCCAGACCTTAATATGACCTCCAGTGATTCATCCTCAGAACCTTCCATTTTGTTTTATTGTTACAATGTGTCTACACTGTGTATCCTCCTGGAGGTGAGACTTGGGAGATATACAACCCTGTTTACTTTCTTGGTATCTTCAGAGCCAGACAGAAAGCCTACCACCCAGACACTCAATGTTTGTTGAGGAAAGGGAGGAAGAGATCGAAATAACTGCTCTGTGTCTTCAAGGGCCAATGCACTTATTCTCTCTTTATTAATATTTCATTTGTTCTTTTTAGATATACATGGCAGTAGAGTGCACTGTGACATATCACACATACAGAGATCTGGCTTCCCGTCCTTGTGGTTGTGCATGTGTGGAGTGACTCTGGTCGTGGACTCCTAAATGAACACAGCAAAGTGATGTTGTTCTCTCTCTTGCTCAGCTGCTGGCTCAATCCAGAACAGGGGTTTGTGTGGGGCTTCCTTGGACCTGCCTGTGCCATCTCTTGTGTGAGTGATGTCATCAGAGGTCCCTGCTGTCCACATGAGGGTCACTAGAAGAGCAGGATTATAAGGATGGTGATAAGAACAGGATTATCCCTGGATTGTTACGAGTTGGGTTGGGTTTTCCAAGACTTCTGCATCTACAAATTCTAACGCTATTGTCAAATACTAAAAGCCACTTCGGTGTAAATGATGCTGCAAGGGCTAGAATGCAGAGATAACAGATTTAAATATTTATTCAATAAAACTTTCCCTGATGGGGATATAGCTTAAGGGCAGAGAGCTTGCCTGGCATGCACTAGGGTCTGGGTTCCCTCCCCATAACTGCAAAAGAAAAAAGAAGATATTCATAAACCTCCTGCGGTTTCTTTTGCGGGGGGGTGTTTTTAGTTATACTTGACAGTAGAATCCATTCTGATACAATTACACAAGCATGGAATATACCTTATCTAGTTAGGAGCCCATTCTTGTGAATGTACATGATGGTGGGATTCACCGTGATGTGGTCATATATGTACACAGGAAAATTATGTCAGATTCATGCTGCTGTCTTTCCTCTGTGGTTTCTTGAAGGTCAATTTGGTTTTCTTCCTGATGACCCTCTGGATTGTGAAGAGCAAGCTGTCCTCCATCAACAGAGATGTGTCCACCCTGCAGAACACGAGGTGAGATGGAGCAGGGGACACAACCCCACAGACATGGACGATGCCCAAGAGCAAAGGCATGTGCCTGGGCAGCCCCTCGTGTCCCACCTGGGGGTGCTTCTGGGTGGCCCAGAATTAACAAATATGGCTGCCCTTCTACGGCTGCCATCTCTGACTCGGGGCTCTGCTGCTGATGCCCCAAAATGCCTCCATCTCTGATCCCAGCTTGGGACTCCCTCAGCCTCAGGAGGAATTGGCGTTGGCTGATGAGCAATGCTTGGACTCTTTATCAGCTCTTCTACAGCAAGAGTGTCAAGAGCATTGTTGTTCTCCTGACAGTCCCCACGTCTCAGGCTGCACTTTCTTGCCCCACTCTCAGCTCAGAATCCTTCCCACCCTATAACTAACTGTTCCTCCCTGTAGATAAACACTACTCCAGTTCAGTCCTCCAGGGGGCAGAGTTGATCCTTCACTCAGCATCTTGTGTAAAATTCATGCTCTTTCTTCTGGGTTCCTCTGATTAACCTTTCAAATTTTTGCATATCATTATTTTGTTGTATTAGACACTTGAACAGAGCATACGATTAATGAAAACAGAAATTTGTCCTGTGTTTGTTTTCTAAGATGGGGCCTCACTGTGTTTCCCAGGCCGAGTTATCCTCTTGCCTCAGGCACCTGAGGAGCTGGGACTACAGGTGTGCGCCCCTGCCCCCAGCTTCTCTTTGTGACTCATGTCCAAGCCCTAGCACAGGGCATCCTCAGTTACACTGGTTAATGAAATTAGGGATCTTCATGGAAAATGAGTTTTTGGAACTAACCTTATGCAGTATCACTGTCCTGGAAACAAAAAGGCATTTCTATTGTGAGGTATCATTGAGAGTAAAGATCAGAGCTCAGTCCAAGAAATCGCTTACAGGGGAGAGTAGGTGCATCCAAGGATGGAGAGGTGAACACCCTGATTTTACTGTGGGTGCATTATAAGCCTCCATTCTCCCCCAACCTAGGGTGCTGACATTTAAAGCAATGGCTCATCTCTTCATCTTGGGCTGCACCTGGTGTCTGGGTGTCCTGCAGGTGGGCTCCCTGGCCCCCGTCATGGCCTACCTCTTCACCATCGTCAACAGCCTGCAGGGCGTCTTCATCTTCCTGGTGTACTGCCTCCTCAGCCAACAGGTACCCCTACCCAGCTCCCACCCATGCCTCCCCACCCTCACCCCTCTCTGTGAGCTGACCCAGAGCGTGGGTTGCCTCTGCAGGTCCGGGAGCAGTACAGGACATGGCTCAAGAGGATCAGAAAACAGACAGCTGAACCCGAGGCCTACACTCTGTCTAGCAAGGCTGTGTCCGATGCCTCCAGACCCAGCACGGTAGGGTCACTCCCTCCTCCCAGAGCTCATGTTCCTGGTATTGCCAGGATTTCTCTCCTCCTGTACACAGACCATGCTTCCCCTGCCTCATGGACTCCACCATCATGCCTGCCTGTGAGCTGACCTTACATTATTCTCTCTCCCTCCCACCCACCTAGTTCCCGCTTATTATCATTGTGTCCCCACCCCTATCTGAGTCTCCTAAAGACCCTGGTGATGACCTTAGGCTCACCTGGACAATCCAGGACGATTTTCTCATCTCAAGATGCTTAACATGCATGATCCCACTGATATGTGAAATGCAAACATTGATCTCATAGAAACAAAGAGTAGAACAGTGGTTCCCAGAGGCTGGGAGGAGGGGGTGGGAAAAGCTTGATCAGTGGGTACTAAGTTACAGTCAGGAGAAAGAAGCTCTGTGGTGTGGCGCACAGTAGGGCCACTAGACCACAAAGTGTGCTGTGTCTTTCCCACAGCTCTGAGGGGCTGGGGGCCACTCAGTGGGAGGCCCTTGCCTGGCATGTGCAAGACCCCAGGCTCCATCCCAGGACCAATCTCTTTAAAAGACAAAGGATTCTTGAGAGTTTTTACCACAAATAACAAATGCATGTTGGAGGAGATAGTTATGTTTCACCTGATGTAAACACACTGTAGACAGGCAGGAAACATCACATTATACCCGTAATATGTGCCATCTAAGTAGATTTAATGTAAAATTAGATTTTTTATCTTTAACATACTCCTTCTTGAGAAGTTCCTTTTCCAGGCATGGTGACACTCACAGGCTATGGGATTAGGGTGTGGACGTCTGTGGGTCATTATTTTGTCTATCACACCAATTACATAGGTTGGGTTTCTCTCTCATGGAGCTGACAAAATCTGCCTCTGGTTGTAGATAACTGAATAGATTCACCCCCACCTCCCTCCACCACAGCCCTAGGAATGATACACACATTGAGGAAAGGAAACGTCAACTTTTTATCTAGAAAAAGGAAGTCATCAGTTGGGAAAGAAGGCTTCTGAAATTCAGATGATGTGATCAGGTGTTTCTACCATCGTGGGCACTGGACCATGAAGGTCCACTCTGTTGGTGGCCTGATGTCATGTTATCTTCCAGTGTCTCCTTAAACTGCATCTCCAGGGTTTGATTTGCTGGAATATCTTCCACTCATTTTGGAATCCCTTCCTTGGCTCATTTCATAAAAACAAAACATTTGTCTTGTAACCAGTTCTGAATAATTTTCTACAGCACAGCATTCATAAGGCTCCAGTGAATCAGCCTCACTTCTGAGAAAGTACAAAATCAGCAAAATGAAATCTCATGTGGCCTCTTGATCATGCCCTGACAAATACATTGGGCAAGAAAATTCTGTGGTTGAAGTGTGTCTGTGTGTGTGTGTGTGTGTGTGTGTGTGTGTGTGTGTGTGTGCACGTTCGACATCATACCCCATAAAGGTAGATGATTATTATTTGTCAATTGAAAATTTTAAAAATTAGGGAGCAGGATGGTGGCTAAGACCCTCCAGTGGTCATCCCCCAGGCACAATGGCTTAACAGCTACAATTTACAAACTCATTGTGAATTTTGGGGGTGTGCCACATGAATATATAGAAAATAAAATAGTTACTGCAGTAAAGGAAATTAACTTACCCATCATCTCACATTCTTGTTTGTACATGAGCAGCTACAATCTCTTTATCTAACAAATCTTTTCTTTGCCTTTTTAATGGAACTTGAGTTATTTTCAATAATCTTATGTCATTTTTCAATAATTATCATTCCAGACTAATTAGAAAGATCACCAGAGCTACATCCTCCTTCCCCATGGAAAATCTGAACCACCATTTATTAGCCATTAGGACAGGACAAAGACTCTGTGCTGTGTGTTCCAAGAAATCCATGGTGTTGGCCACGTGAAGGGATTCTTGGAGGACATGATTGACATTCAACTCCCGCAGAACCTGAAGTCTGTCCATGCCCGACATGGTGCTGAACAAACTCAACATCCAGATGCCATCTGCAGCCCAGTTCTTCAGTTTCTCTGTTAAACATTTTTCTACTGCCCCCCTTCCTAAGAGGCCTCTTCCACATGCACAAATTCTAGAAGAAAACCAGCCTCCCAGGATGCTCACAACCACAGCATTCAAAAGGAATAGAACTCACTTTAAATTTTTTCACAAAAAATAAAATATAAACATAAAAAAATATAAAAATAAAATATTGTGGTGCCTACAAGGAAGAGACCTTGCTCTATGTGGGACGTGGGCTTCTGAGGATGTGGAAGGCTCCCCAGAATGCCATATTCCACTTAAAATCTTCCATAGTCATTAAGTAGTGGCCAAATTGCCAAGAAAATTGATCCCCAGATAATTTCCTGACAGACATGTTAGTAAGTAAGAAGTAAAGAGTAGGAGACAAGACTGGGAAGACAGGGAGGTGGGCCTGGGTCACTTCCTGGGCAGTGAGTACAAACAGCACCTGCAGATATTTGCTAAGAAACTTACAAAAAGGCTATTTTTAAGTCAGGACCTAAGTGACTCTGGTCCATGCCTCTCCAAGGAAGGAAAAAGGCCTGATGGACATCTAGATTGGACAGAAGGCTTCATGGACACCCAGAGGACACTGCATGGATATACTTTGTGACTTTTTCTACTTGTGCTAATTAATGCAAGTAATGGCTGCTTTGCTTTTAGGGCTTCTACAGAACAAGCAGTGGTCGTTTGGTATCAGGGTTAACATAGACTTGGAAAATTCCTTGGCACATTTATTTTCATGTGATTCCCAAGACTTTATATATGCATTGCAAATAGGTGAGATTTCAAAATTACTGATGATATTTCTGGGTGATGAATTGGGTGAGTCAACTTCTTCATTGATTTGTCTATTATACTTTTTAAATAAAAATTAACCAAGCCTATAGAAAATGGGGCTTTCTCATCATTAATGGGAATTACCCAGACCCAACTTTTAACATTTCACCTAAATGGTGGTTATTACCAGGACATTTAAAGTGAAGCACAAAAGTCATTCCTAAGACACCTGAGATCAGGAAGGCTCTGACCAGGTGCAGGGAGTCCCCTAGGTCCAGTCGGCTTTGGGAACTAAATCTAAACAGACACTTCACAGAGGAGGATAGACAATCAATTAATAAGTACACAAAAAGTGCTCACCATCTCTAGCTATCAGAGAAATGCAAATTAAAACCACTCAAGAGAAACCATCTCACTCCAGTAAGAGGGGCAGCCATTATGAAGTCAAACAACAACAAGTGCTGGCGAGGATGTGGGGAAAAGGGTACACTTGTACATTGCTAGTGGGACTTCAAACTAGTGCAACTAATTTGGAGGGCAGT